GTTGAAATGACATCCCTTTATATTCTGTTCTGTTGCGCTGTAAAAAAGTAGAGCTCTAATTTTTTCATCGCGCTGCAATGGCACAGAACAGAACACAGCAGTGAGAACTGGTCCCATTCACACCTATTCATTTTTTGGAGCTCTTGCGTTAGCATCTGTTAAAAAACAGATTGCAACGCAACAGATCTGGTGTGGATGGTGCCCTACTGCAATGGGTAAGTGCAAGACACTGCTCTTTCCAAGGTTAATAAACTGCAGCAAGTTCAGTCTCCTTAACTTGTTTACCACACTGTGTCTGTCCTCATATCTTGATTTCTACGTTTTTCATTCTATTTTTCAACAGTTAACATTTTAGACCTAATCTGGTGCATATTATAGCACGTATACAAAGCTTTGATAATAAACATCTGAAAAGTAGTAAATGGACATAACACAGCTTATACAATAAAACTGTGATGGAGCTGAACAGCAATGTAGTACTAGTTTACAATATTCAATCTACCATTTATAATAATGGAGCTCTAAACATATGTGCAAGAAGTATTTGGTTCACTTCTACCTCCACAATTAAATAAATCCTGTGTGTGCTCACTCCTATATTTTTGTGTGTGGTGTTCATTGAGCAGAGTATACGAGTTCAGTGCAGACAATAAAATGACTGGTATCACTGATCTCAGTGAAGAATTTGAATAAATAACCCAATATATTTTACTTGTTATAATAAAAGGTTTTTGATAAGAATCTCAAGTACTTAAATGAAGTGGATAATGCTTTTAGATCATGTTTATAGGAGACATTATGTCTCAGTTTCTTGTAGCTATGAGATATCTATCACATTCTAAGCTTGAACAAGGGAAGGTCAACAAGAGGTGGAAGATTTACCCAGCATCATACATAAAGGGATAAATAAAATGTGTAGAAACCTACACAGTAGGACAGTGTATGGGGACATCTACTAGCAATGTATTTTATGAACTGTGCAGGTTTGGGGAGATGGAGGAAAGAGATCCTTTAACACTCTTTCTTTATAGACATGACCGATAATAAAGCAGCTGGCTGCAGTTGCATATCACTCAAATATGTGCAAAATGTTTGATATGCTCCTAACAACCATTTCCCACAATGGATATGTAACTGTAAAGGTTCATGGGGAGAACACACACAAAACCTTCCCTGCTTACTAATTAGGCATCAATTCATGAATATAGGGAGCTTTTGAATAATACAGTGCCACACAAATGAGCTGTTTTAAATGACATACATTTCTAATTATTAAGCCTGTATTCTAAGTACAGTAACTCATGAAACATAAGTCGTACTCACCTTTATTCCTCATGATGACCACAGGTAATGAGGAGGTATCATTAGGCTGCAGAACCTTTTGTTGATGAAAGACATTATGTATTACATTTCAATTGAAAGAATAAAGCCATTTTATAGAAACAAATAATACAGCATTAACCAGTAGTATTCACCATACCTAGTTGACAGTTAATTCATTAGTATGTAGTCATTAGCAATTACCACACTTTTGAAAATAGAATGAAGGAGTCCATTCACTGAATATAGGCATCACCACTATCTTTGCCATCTGCCAATAGCAGAACCTGGTAAGTGATCTCGATGCCACAACAGCTTTATTTAGGTTAAATTATTCTTTGTCATGGTTGTCATATAAAAATTGCAAGGGGAGAAAGTGCACATGAAAATCAGATATAGCAAAATGCTTTCCCAACTGTATTAGCATTGGCAGCAGTAATGTATTCTCTACATAGCCAGAAGAAGGCTTAGACAGACAGACACAAAAACATGCGAGTACAGGAGGTACAGGGGTGTGACGGATTTATGACAACACCTGTCTGAATGCCTACACATTGCCACAGGGTTCCAGGATTCTCGCAGCCCAGACACAACATGACTGAAAGCTTCTCCTTTGTACATTCTTTTGTGATGGGGAGGGTTAGTTTAGAGAGATATTTCTCTGAGTTTTATGCAGCACAATACTCTAGTGCTATAACAAATGAAAATGTGCTTCATTCCTGACAGTCCATTTAAAATATATATATGAAACCAAACTGTTTTTAGTAGTTTTTTATAGGGTGGGGTGTATTAAAATGAAGCACACCAGGTTCCAGGTGGAGACTTTAATGGAGTTCCATATCAGACCAAAGTAATGTTTCGGGGCACAGCGTTCGTCTTTGTCATGCTGTATGGTAGTTATTCTGTATGCCATATTCGCAAAGGGGACCGCTTCCCCCCAAAAAAACATTAGTTAGTCTGGTATGGCCAGACTAAAGTTCTGATTAAGTTCTTCTAGTACGGCTCTCCACTCTTCAACTGGTGTCTGGTTTGCTGGCTTTTTACTTTGGATCTTGCAGGGTGCCACCTTTGGCAAACACCCCTTTACAGATTGGCAATGAGGTGTATGTATGGTACAGATTGTTTACATTTATCTTTGTATTGCTGTCTGTGTTTCCGCTACGTACATTCACTCTATTTACCCTGGGGACAGGTGTGGCCTGGACAGGAAGCAATAGAAAATACAATTATTTTACTGTGGTCACCAGAACAGGTGGTGAGGAGAAACTTTCCAATGGGGGCATCAGGCATATTATGCATGGATGATACAAAAAGGCTAAATAAGTGAAAAGTGGTAAATGAAAACTAGCAGGATACTTACTTTCATTTTGACTTTTGCACAGTGAGTGAAGTTCTCTCTGCAGCCTTTATGTACAACAGAGTTACAATCTGATAGAAAAAAAACAGGTAAGGAATAGGTTTAATACACAAAGTGTCATACAATAGGACTGTGATGGGAGGGTATACATACAGTTCAGCATTATTTTTTCTGAAAAAATAACCACCAAACTCTACAGAATTCTTATTTTGTTCAGCATCATGTTCTATGCTGGCCATACTCTGGGAGGATAAACCTTAGAGACAGATAAATGCCACCATTATAAACCTAGAAATGTCTGAGAGGTGGATTTTACTGCCCAATCTTTAAGAACTCTGCCACAAAAACATACTGTTTCCTGGCTTTTCAGGAGTTACAGGAATATGTTTCTAATTCTTATCCCATGATGTCCAACAGTTCTGCCTATGTATCATTTTTATGAGGGAAATTATACAAATGGATATGTAGCTTTGAACATATGTACAATATATTTTGTATGTATGTGTGAGTAAAGCATTTCTCAAGTGTGAGTTGCCAGAAGCAAATGGCTAAGAAAACAAACTATTTGTTTTTGTTCACACATCTCCAAGACATCAGCCTCCAGTAATGTTACATCAAATATATGGACACATAATTCTTCTGCAAGCTAAAACAAGAAAACATGGAACTAAACGTTGGTGCAAAAACCACTTTAGGAAATGGCCCTGAAGGCTGGTCAACCTGATGTACTAATGTGCTGACTTCACCTGACATACCTTTTTGGAAAGCACTCAACTAGACATGACTGGTAAGGAAGAGAGGTGATTGTTCAAAAAAAGTAATGGAAAATGTATACTTATCACTATTCTGATATGAATAGTAAACTAGACAACATTTTTGTATTATGCAACATAATTGAGGCACCAGCCATCATGTAAGGGTCTAGCCTCCATCACATTCACTTTTATGTTCAAATGGATATTGGCTACCTGATTTTCCTTTAAAGAAAATGTTCTGACATTTTCCCTGTTGAATCTGTCTAAAAACCAACTAATGTTTCATAGGGATGGACAAATGAAATAAGCTTAAGAGCCAGTCTGTGAGGAAGCCAGCAAGCAAGGTGCCAGGGAACATGTGTCCCATGCAACTGAAGAAGGTTCAAAAAGTGTAGATAGACTGACCACTGGGAAGTGTCCTGCTCTGATGTATAAGTATAGCAAATTTTGTTGTCACGACATGTTCATATTTGCTATTGTAGAAAGGGAAGCGTGCCTCGCTATGCTTGCTTATGCTCAGATGGTGTGTAGAGAATATTATAGTCACGTACTACATATTCAACCAAAGCATACCAAAAGGAATAAAAGTTGACTACCGAAAAAGCAAAAACCAAGAAAAATACTTCAACTCCAAGATAAAGAATGTGTTCTCTAGTTACATTCCACACAGTGTTGGCCATTATAGCTAAAAAAACAGTAAAATATGTTTTGCTCGGCAGGTTGGATAGAAAATACAAATTTAACTTTAATAACCTTGGTAGGGTCAAGAGATTTTATTGCTTAGACACTGGAAACTGAGCTGGCTGCAGAAGCAAATCTTAAAGAACTTGTTTGCAATACCTTGGTGCTGTTGTATTTACATGTGTCCCTCATGGTACTGCTAGGGCCCTACCTTATCATGCTTTCAATGGTTGCCTGACGTTCACTACAATTAATACTATCATTTGCAAACATTCGCTGGTTATATATTGTCACCTTTACATGGCAACAGGAAATCTAGATGGCCAGCATACTCCTTTCAGAAAGAAAACCATATACCGTATGTTACAGGTGCTGTAGTGCCAATAAGACAGACTACTGAGCCACCTTCCAAAGATAAACAAAATGTCACCAGCACACTGCTGTCGATGAAAAAAGCATTTATCCATGTCACAGGGATATTGCAATGTTTCAGGGCTTCAAATAGGCCTCTTCATCAATGAAACAAATGAGAGAAAGGCACTTTCTGCCATGGTGTGGTAGTGAGTCTTGAAATGTAATACAAAAGTCAGTGTGGCAACGCACCTTTGTCAATGAGAACAGAATTTATATATGTTATGTGATGCAACATTTCGGGTCATAAAAGGACCCCTTCATCAATGCAATTTCATCTACATACCTGTATGTCACAGACGTTCAGGGCCCGTTCACATCAAAATCGGAACTAAAAGCGCAAGTCAACGGAGGGTCAGTTGACTTGTCGTTTCAACC